AATGATATTTTAATATACTCCAAAAGAAAAATTCATTTTCTTTTAGCAAGTTAATATTAAACTAGTAAGTCAAAAAGCTTTAAACCGGTAAACTATGCTTTAAATGTTACACACTATGTTAAATGTATGTCTAATATATGAACAAATTAAAATACTACAATTGGCTGTAGAGCTATTGGGTTCTTGATGCTAAACAAGTTATTACTAGAAATATCATTATAAAAGGTATACGTTATACTAAGCAATAACAAGATATTGTAGATGTGTTCACAAGTTAGCTGTAATAAAAGAAAAAGACAATTATGTGTAAACTCTTCTGTGTCACAACTTACCATAATTTGGAAACAAAGTGTTTGTCTGCTATTAAAATTAAATTGAAGGGGAGAAATAAAGCACCCTGAAATGGGAATGAAAATTTTTAAAAAAAGGTATGAGGACCATATGGTATTTGTTTCCTGGGACGCTAACCAAAAATAACAAGCATTGCCGTTGAGTCGATTCCAACTCATAGGGACCCTATAGGACAGAGTAGAACCGCCCAGAGGGTTTCCAAGGAGCGGCTGGTAGATTCAAACTGCCAACCTTTTGCTGCTAGATGCTACTATAAACTAAATCGCAAAATCTTCAAATAATCTAAGAAATGAAACTATACAGACTACACTTTTGGAAAACTTCATAACATTATCAAGAATTTAGTAAAGAGTTTTTTTAATTACCGTAACACTGATTCAACTACCTGGTCAAATCACTGAAAAAAACCCGTTGCTGTCAAGTCAATTCTGACTCATAGCGACTCTACAAGGCAGAACAGAACTGCCCCATAGGGTTTCCAAGGAGCGAGTAGTGGATTCGAGCTGCCAACTTTTTTGGTTAGTAGCCCAACGCTTAATCACTGTGCTACCAGAGCTCCGGTCAAATCACTGAAGTTAATCTAAATAATGGTCTCCTATAAGGGCGGAATACAGATGGAATGCTGAAAGTGTATCTTACTCTTCTTAAATCTGCACAAATAGGTTAAATCACATTAGAAATGTGTTATTTGATGGGAAAAAAAAAGCTTCCAAACGGCATATCAGAGATTACGTAAACATACTTAGTATAAAACACCAGAAGCATTTTCTATTATTTTAAATCGATGTATTGATGTAAGCAATCATCACCAACAAAAACAAGGATAAAAACAGATTAGGAAGTTCAGTGAGCTCATGTACCTTTTTCTTCACCCATAGGTCAGCTGCTAGAAGCTAATGGCAAACTATTCTTTTATAAATTTTATGTCAAGCAAAAACTACAAAAACCAAGTAATTCCCAAAATCTATGCTACCCATTTTTCAGTGTTTAGTCTAAGTATAGGACAGTGATATGGGAGGGAGTCTAGATGACAAATCTGGGGCCTACCCAGTTTCTAGGAATCTTACCCCTTATCCCCAATTGATCACTTTTTTTTTTTCAGTCTCTCCTTTTTTTTTTTAACCTCAGTGTTTTGTTTTTTAATTGTGATTTAGGTGAAACTTTACAAAGCAAATTAGTTTCTCATTAAACAATGAATACACAAATTGCTTTGTGACATGGGCTGTCAATCCCAAAATGTGGCAACACTCTCCCCTTCTCCATCCACCCCAGGTTCCCTGTTTAAATTCATCCAGTTTTCTTGTCCCTTCCTGCCTTCTGTCTTTGCTTTTGGGCTGCCAAATTAATCACTCTTAATTGGTAATTCTGCAAATACGATGTGTAAGATACATTCTGCAATGAAACGTTAAAGTTGATAATATAAATAACAGTATTTAGTTTTATTTCAAATTCAGAATCGAATTCACTGAGGAAAAAAAAAATCAAGTACAATGTGAAAAATCACTGAAAATCCATAAATACCACATTCCAAACAACTCTCTTACCACTAAATGTGATTTTTTAAGCTATTACTTGACGAAGAAGCCCCGGTGGCACAGTGGTTAAAGCGCTCAGATGCTAACCAAAAGATCAGCAGATTGAACCCACCAGCCGCTCCACTGGAGAAAGACGTCACAGTCTGCTTCCATAAAAATTGACAGCCTTGGAAACCCTAAGGGCCGTTCTACTCTGTCCTACAGGGTCACTATGAGTCCAAATTGACTCAACAGCAATGGGTTTGGGATTACTAGTTGAATAAGTTTTGCTATTAGAATTTTGGACTTAAAAAAAGCTTTTAAGTATTATTTTGATTCTATCAGTTGTTTGCCAAATAATTTCTGCTTAAAAATCAGTGAATTGTGAAAGGCATAGTTCACAGAGTAAAATCTCCTGTTTGTATTTTAATAAGCTAATTTTATTCACTTTATAAATACCTTATGAAGGCCCACTGTAATTAGAAATATACTCTATTTTACTACTTTCTATAATAAGTAACTTGGAAGAAAGGCCTGGTAATCTACTTCGGAAAATTAAGCCATTGAAAACCCTGTGGAGCACAGTCCTACTCTGACATATATGGCATTGCCATGAGTTGGAATCAACTAAACAGCAACTGGTTTATGCTAACGTCACAAAAGACTTCCAAAGTTATATGTAATATATAAACAATCATATATTATAGACAATGTGTGTAAAGAGCACCAATGTGTGAAAAAGGAGATTCACTCCCAGTAGCATATACAACAGAAGACGTATTTACCAATGCATTTATTTATAAGGGCATGGTTTACCTCATGAGAGTTTGCACTCCTTCAACTATTGGCTCAACCAGTTTTTAATGGATCTCCAGAATCAATGTAAACTCTATTCTTCCCAGAGTAGTGGAAGACAGTCAGTCAGCATCACATTTTAATTCAAAAGACTGTAAAAATGTACATTATAGGAAAATACTGTGACTTTCAACAAGAGCCATTTTTTTCTGACCTTGTCAACTTGTGAATCAGTTGCTCTCAGAAGCATCACTAGTCACTCCACCATCCCTTCAGATGATGTAATCTCAAGGATTTAGTAATTATAATATGTGAATTACTGACATAAAGCAGTACTTATTGACATGCCTATCAGACAAACTGAAAAGGCTTTCACCGATTCCTGGAGTCTTCATAGAAATCAGACACCCAGTGTAAGAAAACAGGTGTTGAAAGCGCTGCAGGTCACTTCTAAGAAAATAATCACCACATCAACAAATCAAAAGGATAATGTACAAAAAATGGGGAAAATCTTCACTAGGGGGAATAAAAATCATATAAAAATACTACTCCATGATGCTAATGCAACATAAAGAACTGCTGCAGAAACTGTAACACTCTAAGACAACTAAAGCAAATGAGCAGGGGAAAACACAAACCAAAGAAAAAGACAAAGGTGGCACTGAAAGGTCAGAAGCACAGTTAAAAACAGGATTATCCCTGAAAGAAAATCTTTTGACTAAAAAATCTGTTCTAAATACTAAATCTTAAAAGTTCTATTAAAACCTCACATCGCCCATTTGGGAGGCTTACAAAAAACATTTCTTTAATTAAAATAATACAACTTGTACTATACCAAAAAAAAAACTATACTCTTGGAAAACACTATTATAATAATTAGAATAACTTGCCTCACTATTTGTTCAGAAATGCTCTATTTAAAAGTAGGCCAACAATAGGAACTTTGCTACTGCATTAACAGAGAAAGTAAATGAAATGTCTATTAACATTCAGTGTCTATGGTACATTTCTCCATCTCCTAGAACATACTGTGACTTACACTGTCTGCACGGAACAATTTACCACTCTACATCCATGCAGTAGCTCAAATAAGTTCCTGTGTTTAATCCCACAATAAACCTCAATAATGCTCACATCACAGGAGTTCTAAACGTTTGTTGAGAAAAAAAAAAAAAATTCCCAAAATAGCTACTTAACACTAAGACTACTCAAATTCCTAAATAATCCTTTTACAAGACTCCTGCCAACTTTATTTTGATACATTAAACATGTGGAGCCTATTTTAAAACGTCTTTAACTGCGACTTCACCAAAACAGCTTCCTAGTCGCTCATACGTTTTCTGTTTAAAGTTTTCAAGGTGGTTTTAGACCAAAGTGAATACTGATGAATTTGGGCCGCTATCAAACGCTTAAGAAGCATTTTTGCCAAATTTAATGGGCAAACGTTCTAGATTTGCTAATTGACATCAGACGTCATGCAGCTGAAAAAATGAAACAATTCCCAACCCTCGTTGAGCCTTTCACTTGTAAAACTATTTCAGTGTTACTTTCACATTCTACTTTTAATAATACAATCTCTTTTTTAAAAAGGATGTGAGGCATATTTATATTATTAAGAAACTGATTTGCCAAATGCAGCTGGTCAGTCTGCTCGTAATGAGCCTCTGATAGATGTGGGGTACTACATTCATCATGAACAGTAAGGACAAGGCCAGTCTTATATAAAAACTTCACTGATAAAAGGAAAGACATCCGAAAAGAACGGTGCTGGGGGAGACAGGGAAGGAAAGCCCGGGGTCTGACCAGAAGAGAAAGAGAAACGATTTAAAGCTACCGAGGAGGAAGGAGACGGTGAGACGTACAGACACACGAACCAGAAAGATTTAACAAGGAAGTGAAGTGAAGCGCAGAGTAGGGCAGAAGCTGATGAGGAAACAAATGGAAAAAAAAGGTAGTGTTTGCAAATAAGCACGCACCAAGGAGGGATGAGTTAAGGCCTGGGGTAGCCCCGGTTCTTTGGCGTGAAAGAGATGCTTGCAGGCTACAGCAAAGAAAAGGCAGCAGCAGTTTATTTCAGGGCGTTCGAGCTAACTACTATTCCCTGCCCGGTGCCTCTCCCAGTCCTCGGCCGCGCGAAGGCGGCGGCTGGGGAAGGGGCCTACCCCGGAGCCAGGCCCGGCGTTCCGCTCCCCCTGCCTCCGCCCCAACGGGGGAAACAGGCGAGGGTTAGGAAGGTCGGAGACCCTGGCCGCAGTTCGGTGGCACCCCGAAAATGGTCCCGGGGCCTCCGGGGTGCCCGCGAGCCGTTTCCCCTCCGCCCCGGGCGCCAAGCGGCCTTACCTGAGGCGAGGGAGGGAGGCGAGGTCTAGGGCGTCTTGCTCGCGCCTGGCGCAGAGCCCCACTGCTGTACTCAGCCCAGGTTTCCAACGGAGGCGCGACCCTGCCTCAGCCGCGGCTTCCCCCTCGGGGTCTCGGCCACCTCCGCCGCCGCCTTCGGGGCTGTTTACACCGTCGGGCCCCTCACGCCGCCGCCGCCACCTTCTCTCCACACTAGCGCCGTTGCCGATTCCGCCGCCGCCACCTCCTCCGCCGCAGCCTCGTCTCTCTGGAACATTTTCCAGCCACCGAACCCTGAGAAAGAGACTCCAGCCGCACCGGCAGGAAACTCCCCCGCAAGTGCTTGGGGGACGAGTCCGTCAGAGCACCGGCGGCTTTTCCGCCATTGAGCGGCAGCCGCTCCGCTCCGCTCCTTCTGCAACCCCCTCCCCGCACCCCGTTCTTCCCCGCCCCTCAGGGAGCCCCGCCCCCAACTTCCACCCATTGGGAGGCCGCGCGTCCTCTCACTGTACAGGGTTTGCTGGAAGGACTGTCAATCATCGGTTTCCCTCCCAGTTCGGCTGCCCTCGCTACCTCGGTACTTAGTTTTCCCCGCCCACACTACCCCGCCTCTGAGTTCCCGATCTCCCATTGGGCACAAATGATCACCTTCAATTGGTAAGATCATCTATCCATCAAACACCGCCCACTGAGTGAGACCCAACCTTTTATTACCATTTACTTCATTCAGCCCCGCCTCTGCTATCCACTATCTCCCGGACGTCATGGACCAACCCACCCTACCACCCGTAAGTAGAGACCTCCGTCAATCGAATAACGCCCACCTGCGTTCCGCCTCGCAAAGGCCGAACTCTAGCAATTCCCTTTTCTTATTGGTCCAAATAGTGACCCCCGAACCTTCAGTCATTGGCTTCCTCTAAGTGTCTGTCACTGAACTAATTTCCAAGTCCGTCACACCGGCTTTTTTTAAATGAGCGCGCAAAAGGCGGGGAACCATCCGAAATGCGATTGGCTAGTCTTCGAAAACGGTCAAACCCGGAGAGTCTGCGCGGATCCTTTCTGGTCTGCGAGGATCGTGCCCCTTTATTTTTTTTACCTATAAACCTTGTGTAAATCAAGTGCCATAAAGGAGCCAACGGGTTGTCCAGTTATAGGTGCAGAGGCCTAACTCACCCGAATTGCAGGGAGCTGGCTATTGATTGGCTAACAAAGTATTCCTAGGCCCTCATTGAGGGACATAAACGCCTCTCTCAGGCGTGGAGACTGCGAGGGATAGCGCAAGCGAGGACAAGAAGCCGTCTGGGGAGAGACTGTTGTTTTGCTTTAACCAGCGGGTGGGGCGCACGCGGGAGTGGGAAACTCGGAGCGCAAAGCTCTGAGGGAGGTATTGCGGGGAGAGAAAAGCCCGGATGTTCCCTAACAATGAAATCATCGCCGACCAATCAGAGCTGCTGAGCTGAGATACCTGCTTGACCTGTCTCCAGATGGAAAGAGAATGAAGGAGTGGGCGGGAAATTAGGGTGTCAGAAGTGGCCGAAAAGCGGTGTGAGAAAACGGAACAGGTGATCCTTCAGGAGGATTCTGTGCTGTTAGGGATTGCTTGTTATTCCTTTTAGGCTTGCACTGCCTGGCGTCCAGCCCTTGACATTTCCGCGTTTTGGTTCTCAGTGAGCATTGATGAAAACAAAACTCCCGGCGTCGTCTCTGACGTTCATTCGTTCATTCCACAGTGACTGAGCACCTGCTCATTGCCAGGCACTGCACGTAGAACTGTGGATACAAAAATAAATTAGGCAACCCCAATTCAAAGCGATAGGTTCTATACTTGAAACATGTGCAAGAGATGGTGGTGACAAAAAGGATATTGCCTATGGATAGGTTTACCAATGAAGGCTTCATGAAGACACAAGACGAGTCTTGAAGGAGTGACAGGAGTTCAACAGGCAGATTAGGAAAGCAGACTTGATTCCTCCAGCAATCGAATTAGACTAAAAGGGGCTGCCAGGTGAATTCCTCAAAAGAGAAAATTAAAATAAAATGGAGGCATTCTAATACTTACTTTAGGATACACTTTTTAAAATGCAAGTGACCTGAAAGAGGATTTAAGCCTCGTTCATATTCGGTGTAAATTCGTTTTGGCAGAGATGTAAGCTAAGACCCAAGAGAGTGCTATTCAGTTTAGGGGCTGTCAAAGTATTGGGGGGAAGGAAAAATTTAGGAATAGGACAATTGCCCAGGCCTTGTGAGGATGGCAGAAATAAAGACTTGATTCCCATTCAGATTTTTTTTTAACCTACTTTTAAAGTTTGCCTGAGGATGCCATTTCTCACACCATTGTGGCTAGACGACTGGCATCAGAATCACCTAGTCATGCCTACAAAATTAGGGACTCTGGGGACAAGGCTTAGAAAGATGAATTATTAACTAGTTCTCCAGGTGATGTTTGTGCACTCCAATGTTTGAGACTCTCTGGCATGGGGTAAAGGAGCTCTCTTGGCGCAGTGGTTACAGAGCTGGGCTGCTAACCATAAGGTGGGCGGTTCCAACCCACCAGCTGCTCCGCGTGAAGAAAGATGTGGCAGTTTGCTGCCTTAAAGATTTACAGCCTTGGAAACCCTATGAGGCAGTTGTACTCTGTCCTAATGTCCCTATGAATCGGCAAAAGGTCAGCAGTTCAAATCCACGAGCCACTCCTTGGAAACCCTATGGGGCTGTTCTACTCTGCTGTGTAGGATCGCTTGCTATGAATCGGAACCGACTGAACGGCACCTAACAACAAGATTTATATCTCACCTTCCTTTATTATCAGTATGGGATCATATAAACCAAAAAAACAAACCATTGCCATTGAGTTGATTCCAACTCACAGCGACCCTATAGAACAGAGTAGAACTGCCCCCGTAGAGTTTCCAAGGAGCACGTGGTAGACTCGAACTGCTGACCTTTTGATAAGCAGCCGTAGCTCTTAACCACTACGCCACCAGGGTTTCCATGGGGATCATATAGTTCTCAGGAAATATTTCCGAAATGACATACACTTCCTTAAATCACGATCCTTTGACTGACACATCTTACATAAAGGGAAGGGACTCTGAGGGAAGAGACTCTGAGGTCCCTGCTTTCAAATTGGAACTATGGTAAAGATCAGAAAAGTAGAAATACCTGGGGACCATTGCCTTGCAAATCCAAGAAACTTCAGAAGCACATCAGAGTAGTTTCTTGGCCTGTTCACTTTCCTTCTCCCTTTCCTTTGGTTGACCTGAAAGTAATAAAAAGCAGAGTCATGTAGGTGGACCATTTTCTATTTGTGCTTAATTATTATGCAGAACACTAATGATTGCATATCATTCATTTTTTTCAATTCATCCCTTAAAAAGAAAGTTGTATTGAGTACTGTTTTAGGTGCTGAGAATACAACAGTTAGCTTAACTTTGTTGTATGCTCTATTTGATTAAAGCACTAAACCATTAAAGAAGCCCCAACAAGATCAACCATTCTAACTTTGAAAGGAAAACTGTTGCCAAAGGATGTGAATAGGCCTGGACTTTCACACCTTCTCCCCTCTCTTCTCCAGGCCCCAATCCCAACCATCTACTCTCCTCACACTCAGTTTATAGTGCAGCCTCTGCATCTCTCTCCTTCAGGCTTACTCCATGCAGCTTTGTCAAAGTGTGGTCCTAAGATCAGCAGCATCAGCATCACCTGGGTACCTGTTAGAAGTCCAAATTCTCAGCCTCACCCCAGACCTATTGAATCAGAATCCCTTCCATCTGTGTTTTAACAAGCCATTCAGGTGGCTCTGATGTGCTGAAGTTTGAGAACCACCGGGCTATATAAATCTTCCACCTATGCCCATGAACTCATTTTTTTTCTCAACCACTGGAGACTATTTCTTACACCTACCACTTCATTCTTTCCCAAAGTGTTCTGTCTCTCCTTCCCCCTTCGTGTATTCACCCAATCTTGAAAGACATTTTTGTTCAATGGCTTGCTTTACTTATTCATCTTGATCGTAAATATTTATTGAGTACTATCATTAGTACTCTATTCTATTATTATTGAGTACCATAAGAAACATATAATGTAGCATAAACATTAATGAGTACCATCATAGTAGGCTCTGCTACTAACTTGCTGTGTGGCTTGAGCTCAAAACTAAGCTCTCTGAGCCTTGGTTGATTCTTCTGTAAAATGGGAATCATAACACCTTCTTCCTCCAGAGTCAGACGAAGAGTTTTAGAGGCTCCTAGCAATGCTAAGCACTCACCAATATGTAATTTAAAATTGAAACAATGCTAAATGATTTGTAGGGCAAAGTTCTCATTTTTCCCATGTTGCCTACAGTACTTTGATGTTCTTTTTTAAACAAACAATATGATATATCAATTTTTTACCAACAAATTTGGATGCCCCAGTTTTGCTGGTGCCTTAAGCACATACTTGGTCACAGATAATGCGTGTTTTCTAGTTCACACAGCTATTTCAAAGATTAAATGGGCGATTGTACATACATCATAGCACCTAATATAGTGTCTGTCATAGGTGCATCTGAACCTTTATATGTCATATACAAGAAATTTCATTTATTCACTAAACATATTATGTACCTGTTATATACAGATCACAGCACTCTTGCCTACAAGGAGATTCAGTGTCAGACTTCAAGTAATCTAATTCAAATTCTGATTCATCCATTCCCTTCTTAACCACTGCAAATGTTCTGCTAATTAACTTGTTTTCCTCATTTAAAAAAAAAAAATCACCAGTACAAATCTACAAATATTTTTTAAGCATCCACTGTGAACTAGGTATTATGGTAGGTGGTAGGCACTTTGCCTTTGAAATTAAGTGACCATTACTAATTTCTCAGGAAAAAAAAAAAAAAACCCTCAATAAACAATATCCTGATAAATGGACAAAAGATTGAAGTTGTCAAGGATTTCATTTTACTTGGATCCACAGTTAACACCCATGGAAGCAGCAGTTGAGAAATCAAATGACCTATTGCATTGGGCAAATCTGCTGCAAAAGACCTCTTTGAAGTGTTAAAAAGCAAAGACTAAGGTGCACCTGACCCAAGCTATGGTGTTTTCAGTCTCCTCATAGGCACGCTAAAGCTGGTCAATGAGTAAGGAAGACCAAACAAGAATTGATGCCTTTGAAATGTGATGTTGGCAAAGAATATTGAATATACCATGGACTGCCAAAAGTACGAACAAAATTGTCTTGGAGGAAGTACAACCAGAATGTTCCTAGAAGCAAGGATGGCGAGACTACGTCTCACATATGTTGAACATGTTATCAGGAGGAATCAATCCCTGGAGAAAGACATCATGCTTGGTAAAGTAGAGGGTCAGCAAAAAAGAGGAAGATCCTCAACGAGATAGATTGACCCAGTGGCTGCAACAGTGGGTTCAAGCATAACAACGATCGTGAGGATGGCACAGGACGGGGCAGTGTTTCATTCTGTTGTGTGTAGGGTTGCTATG